GCAGTGCTCAAGGCATGCGAACTGACCAAACTCTTTTGCACACACCGATCCATTCCATTACTCAGAGTCCAGTAGAATGCTAGAATGCTCCGACAAGTAGTTGAGGGGGACAGGGTGGAGTGGAGTAACTGCTGTAAGTGCATGATGGATGCTTGGACACTCAAACACTTAGAAGGGACCCAGGCTCGAGGATTCCAATCTTACTCTCAGGGGTAGGGCAGGCAATAGTAATAGAGCATAAAGCTGGCAATGTTCCAGTTGTTTCAGAGAGTTGACTTACACTGCACTTGGAAGTTGTACTCACATTTTCACAAGTGGCCTGCCGGAGACAAAGCGGGGGTCTGTGGGCCACTTGCTAAAATGTGAACCAACGTGGAAAGATACTTACCAAATGAAACCGAAACTGAACAGCCATTGAGAAGTGCGAAGGAGATGGAAACAAGGAGACACTGGACACTGACACAATACACAATCAGCCAGCCTATAGACTTTATATAGAAGAGCGACGTGTGACATGACAATGACACATTGCTATCACTGATTGCTGATTGAAGGGGACTTGTGTTGAAAGGCAAGCCTGGCCCGCAGTAGCACTGCAGCCTAGCGCCTGCAGCCTAGTTGCAGTTGGCAGTTATCGTTACCGGAACACACCACCGCTTCAACCGCTACGCCGCTACGCACAAACACATAATTACATGGTCAGCAGCAACAGCGATCGGAATCACAACCCAACAATCCAACAACAAATGAATTGCAATTCCCTTGTTTGTTACTTTCAAGTTTGTGATTTTGTTCACAATCCCAAGCGCAGGGAACGAACAAAGAGTGTGCGTCACAATCACTTAAGGTCAATCACCTCTTTGCAGTCTATACAGAAACACACTGTTTTTGTGCAGTCCGCACAGTGGTCCCTCTTGTTCTCAAACAATCCAAGACAAGCTCTGCAAAAAAGGAAGTGTGCTCCATGCTTTGCAAGCTGCAAGCACTCCTCCCCACAAAGGCAGCCATTGCGACATTTCCCACGCCCTTGTGCCCTTTTGCAAAACAAAGTGGCACATGTATGGTTTGTGTACTCGCGTTGTGTTGTGTCACAATGTTCCAATTCCCCAACAAAAAACAACAGACCTATGAGGCGATGCTGGTTGTTTGTGTGCTCGCGCTGTGTTGTGTGGGGCTGTGTGGGGGCATATGTGACATATGTGGGTGTATGGAATGAAGGAACACAAAGGGGGGGAACGGAACGGGAACCAGTACAGGCGTGTGACATAGGGATGCAGGTGTCAGTGGGAGAATGAGGGGGAGGCTTTATGGCACTTTATGGTGTTTGGAAGGTATACATTTAAGTAGTTCTGCCAAACTGCTCGACTGCCCGAGATTTTGTCTTGTGAACCTATTGTTCAATTTCTCATTTGGTGTCAGAACTAATCATTCTTGAAAAGAATAGACATAGGAAGCCCTGAATGCCCTGGTGGGTTGCTATCCTTAGGTTGCCTCCTATGGCACTTTGAGCTGTGCCCTCAGCTCAGTGCCGTGCCGCAAGCACTAGGGTGATATTAGATATGGTGATCATGGTGATCTGACAGTCTGCCAATGACGAGTTTTTGTCTTGTGTGCTGTGTTCTTCCACACTCACGTTGTGTGTTGTGCTTCACAGTGATTCGTGAAACCCTTAGGCTCATGGCTTGTGTGGCCATCTGGAGGAATAACTTTGCATGGACTTTAGCATGGAGATGCCAGGGCCCTGAACATGCAGACTTCTAGCTTTGGCAAGCAGTCAGCTTGCACTTTAATGTTTTGTACATTTGGGGCTCCAGGCACATTGGAAACCCAATAAACTTGTGAAGAGAATCAAAAAGCAAAATCGATCTGTTTTGCTAACTTGCGCAGGTGCTAAAACATTTTGCTGAAAGGGCAAACCGATGACAAAATGAAACAGTTAAACCAAATTCATAAGAGTAAACATAATTGTTTGTGTCGATTTAGTTTTGCACACTTTGAGGATCTCCTCACCAAAGAGAAGACTTGTTCGAATTCAGGCAGGATCGCAGGATCGAGAATCGTCGGTTTGCTAGGTGTTTTTCATAATTCAATATCAATACGGTTATGGTCTTGTAACCACAAAACGTCTTCACTTTAGAGCTTCTACCAAGGACCAAGACAACCAATTGATAATAAATGTTATATTCCAAACTCAAACCAAGACGGTCCTGGTGGGGGGTCTGATGCCATGAGGTCCTTCCCTGCAGAGGTTTTCATGCCAGTAGGCTGGTTCCTGGCTGCCAGGAAGCCATAACATTCAGTTGGTGGCAGACAGGAACCCACCTCCCGGCTGCCAGGAAGCCACACAATCCAATTGGTGGCAGCCAGGAAGCTGCCTCCTGGCTGCCAGGAACCAGCTTCCTGGCACAAAAATGACTGCCAGGAGGTCCTTCCTGGCAAAGGGGTGCCGGGACCCTCTTCCTTGCATTCATTTCGGACATCATTTGGCTCAAAAACATAACACACTTTTGATACAAAAAGTAGTTCACATTAATATGTATTTTTGGTACTTGTTTTTAGATATGCTATGATGTTCATAGTCACTACCTCCCTAATTTTCAGACACAATTGGTTATTTTCTGTCACTCCTTTCACTTTGGTCGTTCAGCAGCGACAACGATGTCGAACATTCGGCATGTCATCTACCTTTCAGATTCCGACTCTGATTCCGACGTTGTGATTGAACTTCTATGCCCTCAAGATTCTACCATGATGGTGGCCCATCCAGAGACTTCAGAGATTCAACCAATTGACAATTGGTATTCAGATTGCGTGGCATCAATTTTGTTGGATTGTACTGGTGATATGGATAGCACCGATGCCATTGACACCAGCACATGGCCTCCAGTGACAGAGATTCTCAACTTATTGTACCATTGGGCATTTTTGGGAGATGGTGTTGATGATCATGATGAGGTGGCTGATGAGGTTGTGGGCGGTCGCTATGCTTGTGATGGCTGCTTTGGTGAAGGAGATTGGGCGGGCGGGCCCCCACCATCGCCATCGTCTTCCTCTCAATGGGATTCGGACGAGGAGGATGTGAATCAGACCTGATGGGAGATTGATTTAGGCCTGGCGCTATATGTGCTGGGGGCGATACATGCTTTTGTAGGCCTTTGTTTGATCTCCAGCCACGCTTCGTCTCACAGACAAAAGAGTGCGAGTGAAACACTGTACAACTGTACAACATTAAATTATGTTTCCCACTGATTCACTATATTATACTATACTAATATGATCGCGACTGCGACTCCTGTTACTCCTGCGCCTGTGGGTGCGCTGGAGTCAAACTGATGTGCATGGTTGTTTTGCGCTGCTGTGGCTGCGGAGACTTTCACTTTTGCAATATGCATGTTTTTGTGGACAGGCAAATCAGTGTGGAGCAGCGTAGCCTGGCCGCCCATCTTCTCTCCGGACAGAGGACTGGCCGGCTGCACACCGTTATGACTCTCTTGTGCAATGGATGTGTCGAAACCTGCTGAGTTCTGAGATTGACTGAGATTGAACAAGTGTTGAAGCTAATACCCATGCATGACTCTATTTGTTCACTGTTCCAATCTTTGGACTTCTGTCTTTGTTTGATGAGATTCAAGGTCCATTCATCTGGGTTTTCTGGTTCAAGCCAATTCAACAGCACGGTGCTCGCCAGCAAGTCCATTCATCATCCAGTCAGTTCAGCTTCAAGCTTCCGTTTTTCTCGGGTGGCTGCCCTGGCACCATGACGAAGAAGCCCGCGGCATCAACTCCATCAAGAGCAAAACGAGGCCCACATCGTGGGCTCTTGATTGGCCAGGAGCATATCAGGAAGTTCTTTGATCCGGACAAGTCCAAGAGGAAAACGCACGAGATCCGGAACTTCAACATCAGATGCGTGCCAAAGGGAGGGGATGTCTTTTTAGTCGAGTGTGGGTTGAAAGATGCGCAAGGACGAGGAGTGTTCAAGGTGTGGGGGCGTGCTGAATTCCGGGGCAATACCTTTGTTGCGCACGAGGTGGTGAATGAGCACTTCAAGCAACACAGGTGTGACGCTGCCACATATCAGCGTTTGTCTTCCTCATGGAGCAGTGACAAGGGGGGCTGTGTCCTATGGGAGTTCGCAGTTCAGGAACAATTCAAGACTCCATTGTACTTTGCACCAAAACATGGTGAGGACAGAACTGAACTTGAGTTGCTGTTGAAGTTGAAGTGTGATTCATAACCGTCCGTGGTAGACATGATCTTCTCATCTGCGTTCTTGATGTTCCTACAGTCACTACAGTCTAAACTGTTGTGTTCTTGGCAAAGGTTGCTTTCCCAAAGCCATATGTAGAATCCAGGAGATTTGGACACATTTCGACTTGGAGAGTGCTACGGCTGACATCAATGCTGTTCATGGTTATCGGACATCTCCATTTGACTCTGCCGCCCGGACAACCCCTGCCAAAGATGCCGCTCAGATTCCGAACGCTGAGGCTGAGACTGATGCACCTCCGACTGCATCCAGCGCATCCAAGAAAACCAAAGAGTCCGATGAGGTTCACAATGCCCAGTACCATTGGGAACACTACAATCGCCTGTACGTGCATAAAGGTGCACATGCAGCCCTGCGCTACGAATCGACTGCCAAGCCTGAGGTTCTTGAGGATCGGGATGAACCCGGAGGACTTCCACTGCATGAAGCATTGGCAGAGTTGATAGTTGAGGAATACGGCCCTGACTATGTGTTAACAGGAAGCCTGAATGAGAAGGCGACTGGACATGACGTAGCAGCTGTTGCAGAGGTTGCTGCTGGCAAGCTCCACTTAGAACAGGACTGACGTTGGACGTTGGAGTTTGACAGCTTGCCGACACAAAACGACAATGATATGACCTCTGTACTGTATATTCATATAAGGTGACCAAACCCCAATCTGGTCCACTGCTCCACTTCAACTTGTGGGTTGACATTGCCTTGTCCTTGTGAGGAGTGTAAACGAGCAGCAATGTCCCCAGAGGCTGCAGAGGCAGCAGCTCCCACTGTCCCTACAACTATGTTGGATGATGGTCCGGAGGCTGATCGGGCTGCTCCCACTGTCCCTGTCCCTGCAACTTTGCTGGATGATGATGATGGTGGGTTCAAAGAGGCTGCTCAGGCTGCTCCAACTGTCCCTACAACTTTGTTGGATAATGATGGTGCGAAGGAGGCTGCTCCGGCTGCTCCCCCTGTCCCTGCCACATTGCTGGATGATGATGATGGGTTGAAGGAGGCTGCTCCCACTGTCCCTACTACAAGTTTGTTGGATGATGATGCGAAGGAAGCTGCTCAGGCTGCTCCCGCTGTCCCTGCAACTTTGTTGGATGGTGAGAAGCCTCTTGATGAATTCGAAAAGCATCTGATGCAGCTTGGAAGAGGAGCCCATGGCGACCAATGTGAAGACGCAAGCAGTGCAGCGAAGGCAGCAACACAGGTCGCACAGCTGCAATGAAACAACTCTTGTGTGTATTGTAGTTGTTGTCACCGTGTGCCGTCTGCCCGTGTGCTGCCTTATACCTTACCTGTGTGTGCATTCCAAATTTATGTTGGCAGTGCTAACAATGCATGTTCAACTCAGATTTCACGTGCTAGCTGAGGCTGAGACAAAACAGCAACACCAACAACAACTACAACCGCAACCCAGTGAGATTTTGCATGACGAAGAGGAGGTCGCAAGTTTGGAGGACTACTTTGACTTCTTCAATTTTGCGCTGAAGAGGGTTCTCCAATGGAACACAAGTTCTGACAGCTCTGGTTGCTCTGGTTCTGCTTTCATGGATGATGATGACGAAATCACTCACCGTGTTGATGTGCAAACATTGGTTAGCCGGATGCAAGACTTTAGCATGAGCACAGCATATTCAGGTGTGGGTGCGCCTGAGGCAACCTTATTGACTCTTTGCCACCATTTGGGGAAGTTCTATGGATCTCAAGTTTGTCCACCACAAATGATTTTTCAAATGGAGTATGATGAGGCTTGCAGGGAGGAACTCAAGCTCTACGATTCCACCTACGCGAATCCACCTCCCAAGAATGCTCATGTAGCTCAGGCAGATTCAGGGGCTTGCATTTTTGGAGACTTGAACAGCTTCTATCATCCACAGCTTCAAGAGACTATCGAATATCTCAAGAAACGACCGGACTTGGCCCTTGAGATACTTGCGAAGTCGGTTGCATCCGGAGAAGCTTGCGTAACGCGTGGCTACTGTTACAAGCACAACCGCACTTGCCCATTGAATCTCAGCTGCAAATTGAAGATTCTCTGCGAAAAACTATGATGTGTTAGATGTACGTACATTCCTCCAATAATCAACCATTGGCCATTGACCCATGACTGATGACTCGAGACCAATGAGGAAAATGGCATCTGTGCATTGCGCTGGAACATCATGCACCGCATTTGCATCCATTGGAAAGCAACTGGGTGTGAGAGATGCTACAATTTTACCATTCCTCAGCTGGGTCTGCCAACGGATTATCCTACAGGAGCCACTCATTCTCCACGAGAACTCCAAGAATTTTCCTGTGCAGCTTCTTCAGCGGTTCCTTGGTCACCTTTATGAAATTGACTCTGGGGACACTGATGCAATGGTTTATGGCGCTCCTGTTCGGCGGGAACGCAAGCTTACGCGGATGTACCACCGGGGCAAAACTGGACGTGGTTCCCATCTATCTTTTCTGGACTTCAGCTTGCAGTTTGAGAGGCGTTGTCTCATGACTTGGCGGTCCTTTTTCTTCCTGCACACCATCAAAGAAGATTGGGCCAAGGACGCTGCGCATGAATGCAGTATGCAGTGTGTCAAATCACACATTCATGTTTGCAACGTATCAAGCAAGCATATACATTCATAACATAACTCACACATTTAGCATTCAGTCTGGTTCAAAGCTGCGTTTTGCGTTCCAGGAAGAGATGTCACAGGATTTGCTTTGGGCAAAGTCGCGCCCAACAGTACGATCACGGATTGATGTCCAGGAAGACTCAGAGAAGTTTGAAGATGCTCTGAATACTTCTGAGATGAAGAGCTTGGCTGCTTACAGACTCCGTTTCCCAGGGTGCACATACTCTTTGGCACAAAATGGTGCAACATCCCACGCTATGCACTCTACCCCAACATGCCTTCAGACCCTGATTCGGAACATGAGCTTGCTGTGGGCAGATGGAGTCCACGAATCAGGTTCTGAATCGTCTAAAACTACTTGGCATCCAGAGATTTGGTCACACAATATCACAATATAAATCTGCATGCTTGTATCGCAAACATTAAACCTTTTCAACAATAAATCTGCACGCTTGTATCGCAAACATTAAACCTTTTCAACAAAATGTCAATTTCAACATATCATATCAAGATATACTATATCAAGTACCTAAGTACTAAAGTACCAAGAATATTGGACCCCTTTCTTAATGTTTCTATTCCCGCAGGAGAAGGGCGATGGATGATGGGAACAGAGGCCTTGATTGCCCAAGGATTTCCAATCCATCCTTCGATTCATGCTGGCCTTCAGCTTTGCTGCTTTGGTGTCCCACCATTAAACCCTCCGCGGCGAGCTCGCGTTGTGCGTGTGCAAGCCGGAAACTCCATGCACTTGTTTGTGATCTCAGTCCAGTTCCTGTATTTGCTGGCTCATGCTCCAGTCAAGGCCTGAGTTGTTGTGGTTGTATCAGATCTGATCTGATCAGATCATTGACTTCAATTGAGTTCAAGCATTTGCATCTTCCATTTGACGGCTGGCCTCTGGCCACTGACCAAGACTCGGAGAGTTGTAGCGTACGTTACAGTAACGGTTAAAATGTTACATAACGCTGAGGTTGTGCCTCCAGGGCCTATTGTTTCTGTGGTGCACCGCATGCGCCGTAAGTTGTTGGACGAGAAGGAGAAGGAGCCACCAAAGAGACGGCGTCACTGTGTCAAGTCTCCAGCAAAGCCGAGCTCTTCAGACCCTCCTGTATTTCCAAGTCTACCGGCTCCATGAGCTCCAGGCACTCAGCCAAAGTGAGATATTGCGGTGATTGAGTGCGTGATGCTGGGTTGCATTGCATACATCACACGATGCCATCACGATTGGCTCTGGCTTTGTCAGAGTCTTAACTTGACAATGTTCACTAGTTGAGAGTGTACAGACATAGGTAGCGCTATCTATCACAGCACAGGGGATGGACTGCTGTAAAGCTGCCTCTAATCCGATCCCAATTCATACTACTTCTCTCGTTTCAGCCAAGCAGGAACAGGGTCGGTCTTGTTCATGTTCAGCGTTGCTCATAATATATGTTTATGTCTTTGTGCAAAGGAGGAAGTGTGAAGTGTTTGTGTGTGTGGTGATTGCGTGTGCAAAACACGTAACACCACGCAACTTTCAATGGTCATGTCTTTTCTTACCTCGTGTTTGGTGGTAGTGGTGAGATGATCGGGCTTTCATTCCTGACATTCCTGCCGGCTCGTCTCGACTCTGCATGTTACAGAAGGGCCATGCCGATGCCCGATCCCCGCAATCGGGCCAGAGTGCAAAACAGAGCTGGAATGACAGCGCAAAAGCAACAGGCTACCAGCCTGGAACAGTAGCAACCGTAGCAACCTTTTTTAACCTTCTGTGTTTCTTGCGGCCACACTTTGTTTTGTTCTTTGACTACCAACCTGGATTTGAGACAACTTACAACGGCTTGCATTGAAGCAACAGTCTTTCAGTCTGGACATCAAATTCTTGCTTTTTACGGTGAGCCTGTGAGCTACTAATCTGCAGGAGTCCAGGAGGGAGAGTGCTACTCTGTAGCACGCTTTTGTCCGGGTTCCAAGTTGGCCTCAAGCCTCAATAATTGGAATTCAACCAAAACTGACATAGATATACATAGATTGTATTGAATTGCGATTGTATCCTTAAATCTTGAACGATTGAATGACAGTGTCACAGTGTTCAGTGTCTAGTTGAATGGTTGGACACGACCGGGGCAGTTGACCATTCCATGTAAAATCAAGACTTTTGATCTGTTGTTGGAGGGAGTAGCTATGAGTAACTCCACAGGGTTGCTAGGCTGATGGGCTAACAGATACCAGATGCCGCCGCGTTGCCACATTCCCGTGCCACTCTTGTTTCAGCAGCATGGGAAGCATCGGACTGGCCTGGTTCCGAACTTGGATTTATATAGGAAATAGGATCTGCTATTGATATAAATTGATATTTACTACTCAGGTTTCTTCTTTATTTTGTCGAGCCGATTCCACTGCTTCTAGAATTCTTGAATTCTTGAGCCATGCCAGAGACTACGTCTGCGGCAGATGAACATGCTGCGGGCGAGGCTGATGGTGTAGCAAGTGCAGAGTTTCAAGGTCTGCGTGGGCACCTACTGGTGGAAGCGATTTTCCAGAAGTACGGGGCAGGAATCATGACGATACCATGGTTGAACGAGGCTCAAGGTGGAGTACACAGCGGTGGAGATGGCAGGGCTGTTCCAGTTGAGATTCGGAACATCAAACGTGACCCAGTGAATCGTCCTGTGATGGAGTCGGTGGCAGAGGCATACTGTGATAGAATTCTGCACAGCGGTCTCAATGTGGATTGCGCAGGCGTGGTCTGGATTTACAACAACCATTGCAACTGAGCAACCATTACTATCACTATCATTTTAGCATGTTTCAAGTTTCTGTTAACTTGGCTTTTGGAAGGTTGGAAGGTTGGACTTGAACTGGAGTAGTAAGATGTAGTAAGTACATAGACCCGCTCAGCTTCAGCGCTTGACTCGCTCGACCCCTGTAGGCCGAGCTTGGATGGTGTACAGCGGCAATGGATCTCTTCCAGCACACGCCATTACCTTCAACCACCGTTCTGAGGCCATGTACAGGGCTATTGCCCGGGAACCTGGCAACGACTACGTGAAGAAGGGCCTCTCAACAGGGCTTGAGGGTGTGCGCATGCTTCAATCGTGCACTCCAAAAGAGATCAGAAGCCTGTTGTGCAACATCCACAACAACTACCATGAAGGAACTGGCGAAACCTGGCTGTCGATAGTCGACCAGGCTTCTGACATCATGCGTGATTGGGAGGAGCGAACTTCAGGTCCACAAGGAACTGGACTTACTACTCAACGCTCAGTACGACACTTTCCTTGAAAGGTTTGTATTTGGCGAGAAACAAGCCACTGTCTGGGGTGAGTCATTGAACTACTTCAAAACAACAAGCATCCTTCACAACTACTTGACAAAGTACGGTATCAAGGAGATCATTCGCGAGTGGGCCATCAAAAACATGAACTTCAGTGACTTCAAATTGTCCAACAGGCACGAATTTGGCTGCCTCACTCACAATCGAGTCGATCGAGTTTGATATAGTCTTGATCGTTTGCCATTTTTGGTTCTGATGTTCTTCCTTTTGTCCACTTTGTTGTATTGTCAGCTTTGCCTCGGCAGGGATATCATAAACCTGGTCCACCAGCTGTCAGTGATTATTGTCAACGGAATGACGAAGTACTACCCCAAGGAATTCATTTCTGCTGCGTTGGTTGAGGGTGTGAAGTTCTGCGTTCCTCTGCAACATGTTTATACTGTTTTAAAACTGTTTTGCTTGCTGCATGGCGCTACTTCGGGAATCAGGAATTTATCTTAGGATAGTCTGAGCTTTAAGCATTCCAGTGCTTTCCATTGGCTAGTCGTTAGTTCTGCAAAGTGCACTGTATGTTAAGTTGTTGGTGTGTTGTTTTTGCAAGTTATCCATGTTCAACTATGTTGTTCTGTTTGCAATCAAATGTGAAACTGACTACAAACACTCAGGTTCCAACGCGACATGGAGGTGGCGGAGAGCGGCTAGTGCCCCAGGTGTTCGTCAAGCCCGGGAGTGAAGCTGTCGCAACGATGAACTTCATTGTCACTCCAATGGCTACGAGCGCTGTGTTCAAAAAGTTAGATCAGGAGGCTGAGGCTGCGCCGGGCAAGGATGATGATAAGGTGAAGGGCAAGGGGAAGAAGCGATCAGGGCGAAGCAAACCAGCTGCTGATGATCAACAAACCACTCCCACCCAGTGGTCTAACCTTGCCCATCCTATTCCTGATCCTTTCAGCAGCATGGGTCACGAGCCCCCACTGGATGCCAGCCGCCCGAAGACAGCCCTTGATGATTTCATGAACATTTTTTGCGATGAAGTCAAGAGGGCTCGTGCAAAGGTGGCTGGGCAAAAGGCAGAGGCTGCCTTCCAGGAATCGGTACTCTCAATCTTCCGCCATGCTTTTAGCTGCTTCTGCGAGTTCTCATGGACAGGGTCAGTGGCTTTGAATGGGAAATTCTCCCGTGTTTACAGTGCGTTCAGGCCAGAGCTGGAGACGTTCTTGAGAACAGCCCTTGAATTGGCTTCAGCATCCAATGTTCCTTCCAAATCAGGGGATGGCAAGGGATTGACCCTGCTCGCCGACTTTGCTTTGGATCTTGATCCTGGGCTTCAGATCGGGCATATCCCAGATGACGAAGAAGCAGCGCTCCAACGCATCAAAGTTGGAGTTCCAATGAACGAGAAGAGTGGGATGGGGGGCCTTCATTTCTGACACTGTGACTCTGCCACTCGAGTACCATGGCAACTTCGCAAAAGCCACTTGGACTTGGACTTACTTTTTCTGGGACGTTTCTGTGTTCACCATATATGTGCGAGATTAACCAATTACTGTTACTCATAATACAGGCGTATTGGGATATAGTCAAGTCACGTTTTTCTGTTTTTACCCTGATCACCCTGACCTGATCTGGGCTAGGCAAAGCACAAGTTGGCAGTCGATCCAACCATCACGCCGGACATGGGTCTTGTAGCAGTGCTGCAGAAGATCTACGAGTCCTTGAGGGAGGCTATTCCGCAACAGTGGATCACCTTGGCAGCAGACATCAGCGATCTTATGGCTGTCCGCCGCGATTTTGTCGAAGATTCGGCCAGGCTTTTCAATCGGCGGAAAGACTTGCTCGATCGCTTCATTTCCTTGAGGGCCATCTATGTGCTCACCATTTTGAGGGACCTGGGCCGGTTGAAAAAGGTTGGGTTTGACGCACATGTGAGGCTGCTGATTTCAGCACTTGATGTGGATATGACTGCTGTGATGAACAAGTTGAATGCGAAGGATTCAAGAAGATTCCCAATCCGGATCCCAACCAGACAAAGTGGACCAGCCTACTACTACTCCGCATCCTGTAGCAACGCTGATTCCAGGCTTCGACGTGCTGCAGAGTGGCTCGGCTCTGGCTGTAAGAGCACAGGGTTTGTAGTTTGTTGCACTTTTGACTTTTGACTGTTTCTGGCTCCCCGTTTCAGAGGATTTGATGGTCAGCAGGTCTTTCCATTCCTTATTCTACTTTCCTTTTTCTACAGTCTCTCTATTCCCTTCCATGTCCATGCAATCATGCCATCAGGCGGTGAAACGTGGGCACGCAACTGGGCAGCTTTGCTGGCTACGAAAACGCCAGAAGGGGCATACAGCTTTCTCAAAGTCTTTACCAAGGGTCACCCTGGGTCTTCTGATGAACCAAAGACCGGAAAGGCCGGAAAGGGGCCAGGCCCGGCTCAAGTCAAGCACAAGAAGCGAAAGAGAGGCGGGGCTGGGGCCGAGGCTGAGCCTGGGGTTGATGATGATGAGGATGACCAGGATGCGGCTGATGAGGATGAGGCGGCGGGGAAGCTGTCTATTGAAGACTTTAAGTCCTTCGATCTGGATTACTTGCTCTACGCTGGCACAAAGCCAATTGAGGCGTCGGCTGACTACAAGCAATTGTTTGATGCTGGTGGTCGGGTGTCAGCACTCGGGTTGAAAATGATGGAGTCGCGCATTGAGATCTTCCTCTTGGACTGGGTTTGGGGTTTGGGATGTGAATGAGCAATGAATAATAAGTACTAAATGGATTGATTGTGATTGCATATATGTGGGTTCAGTGGGTTGGGTTAGTTGGGTTGGGTTGGGTTGGAGTCGGAGGTTGGGCAAGTAAGTAACAATATAAGTACACTCTAAAAGACCCCGGACTCAACTTCAACTCAGTGGCGGGACTGATGGACCATGGGGCCAATGGACCAATGGACTAAATATGGGGGCACGACACGCGATGTAGCTGTCTCTGATGTCTCTGTTTGTCTGGCAGGAGCACTTCATGACAAGTGCCAAGCACACTAGTAAGCATGTGCGCTTGAATTTTGGCGATCCGGAAGAAGAGGCGCAGGCTTATGGTAGTGGCGACAGGCAAAAGCTGTCGAAAGTCACCAAGAAGGTGCAAACCGAGCGGCTCCTTCTTGCAAATGTCCAGGAGATCCTCAAAGACGATACTTTGAGAATGCAGATCATGCTTCCTTTTCTTGGCAACGTTTCAACACTCAAGGGGGCTCAGGGCTTCGAGATTTGCCGACTGTTCGATGTTCCTTTCTATGTGAATCCTCCACCAGCTCCAAATGCAACCACAGCTACCATTGTGCCTGCTTGGTTGGTTGGAACTACAAACAAGATGGAGAAGGCATCCATGGAAGAGACCGACATCAACGTCTACGCTGTAGCTTGGATGAGCTTTGGAATTTTTGAATCTGAGGACATTGCTATTGTTATTGTTACTTTCACTGTGGTCAATCTGGCTCGCGCTGCTCCCTGTTTCAGTTTCAAGTTGTCAAGGTCTTGACAGAGAGATTGGAGATTCAGTACTCGCCTCAAGACGGAGGTCCTGAGACGTCTTTGAAGACTATCAATTTCAACTTCAAAATCAAAGTGTCCCTTGGAACATTGTGTATCATTTTGTTGGTTTGGTCTGCTGCTACTTTTTGTTTGTAGGTATTGACCTGATTGGCATGATTGGTTCCATGTCATTTGCGAACGATTGACATCGCGACATTGAACAAAACATAATATGATCAGATCTCTGAAGGGACAATGGACAATACCAACTTACTAAGGCTGGCCCCTATCAGGTCCTTCTTAAACGCGATCACCGAAGCCGATGCTGAAGTTCCTTTGCTCAAGTTTGTGAAGAGCGGCAAAGGTGCACGCAAGGGAGCCGCGGCTAGCTCAGATACTTCAACTCCGGTCGGATACGCAGCAGCTTTGAAGTCAAGGACTGAATTCATGGATTCTGCCGGGCTACTCACATCTTTGCCGACATTGAGCAAGGAAGAGAAGAAAGCGGAGAAGGAACGCAAAAAGGCTCTTACCAATGCCAAGCACTTGATGAAGTAGTTTGGCAATTTCCAAGTGGTAGCAGCTGCAGCAGTGATTGCATCGCTTGTGGCTAAGCTGTGAAAGCGAGCAGTGGCAGCGGGCGCAGTTGTGAAGTGAGGCAATGATGCAATGTGTGTTGACAAGATGAAGCTCTTGTCCTAATTCGCTTTGTCCGTCCATCCATCCATCGGGGCTTAGTTCATTGCGTTAAATGTGTTCCTTTTTCTACCAATGAAATCATATGGCATATTGCATATATAAAAAACAGTATGTTATGTTATGGTACCACAAGCCAGAACCAACCGGGTTGGAATGCAATGCTTAGACATTAGACGCCAAACTTTGGCAGGAATTCCTCAGGGAAGGATGGATGTAGCCATACAGTTGCCATACACAACCAATTTGAAGTTGCGCATTGGCCGAAGCCTATGTCCTTTGCAAGGTCGCCGTCAGGTTTTGTGTCTTGTGTTCAACCAACATAGCATTTAATTTAATTTAAGTCATTTCTATGTCAACGGTGGTTCCTACAGTAAACTCTCAGACTCTCATTGTTATTTTTGCTGTGTCAGTGAGGCTTTCAGTGACCTCACTGACTGTCACTGGGCCCTTGATCCGGAAGTTGTCTTTTTTTGCGACCATTAGGCAAAAACCCACCCAGCCAAACACGCTGTGGAAAAGAAAACAACGTGCCGCGGCACTTGGCACCGCTTTCAGCATGCGTCCACTGATCAAGTGGACAAAGATTATGAATTGCCAATTCTAAAACAAAATTGCTTTACCGCTTAGATGCTCGGACGCCGATTGAGGTCTGCTGCGGCTGCTACTCCTGAAATGTGAACGGGGTAACGGGGATCGCCAAGTTCGCGCTTGGGAGAAAGGAAAATATGTGTGAGGGAGGGAAACGTGCACTTTGGACCCTGGCAGCAGCACGTAGGCATTTCCAGTGGAGCCAGGTTGCCGCTCAATACGATGGAAGGATGATACACAAGTTCTTCTGGACAGATACTTTTTTTTAAGGGGACAAGGAACGTACAACTCCTTGACTTTCCGAATTGCGAGTTCCTTTTTTGAACTCTCATGTGTGTTTTCCAGGCGTCTCCGGATGTTTTTGAAAAAATATTTACAGGCAGCTTGTTTTTTTGACAAACGACCACTGGAGGTGGCACAGCCATGTTTGGGTAACAGTCACAACGGGAATCGAAAATCATCGTCGCCGTAAGCAAGGCAGGCGCCAGGAAGTGGCGCAACCTCCGATTTCCGGCGCTATGTTTTCAGCTTCGCCCCATAGTCTAATTCCGCACGTCCCTACTGAAGGCCCAAATTCCTGGCCAATTTTCTGTTCCTTTTTGCCTTTTGGCAAGGCTCATTCTGGACTCATTCTCTTTGCTGCAATCTTCTGCCTTTTGGCAAGGCTTCTCCTTGCTCTCCTCTGCCATTGGAACAGGCCGCTCCTGTTTGGCTTCTGCCTTTTGCCAAGGCTTCTCTTCTGTTGCCTGCTTCCTTGCCTTCTTCCCTTTTGTTCATCTGCCATGACTTGGCTTCCTCCTCTTCTCTCTGCCTGGAATCTTGCCTCTTCTGCTTGTTTGGCGATGGACTTTGCCTTTGAGGCTTCTTTCTGCTCCTTCAGCTTCATCATTGCTGCATCACCTTCAGCAGCCAGCCTGTCTCTCTCCTGGGTTTCTGCCCTGATCCTTTCCCTTCACTTTGTGGTAGTTCCACTCCCAGCTGGCCTACCAGCTTTGTTGCAGGCAGCTGACTCTTTCCGGGAAACCCATTGCCAGGGCATGCTTTTGTCCAAGCTTGAGCTTTTGCCAAGCACTCAAGCCTGGACAAGCCAGGCTTTTGTCAAGCCAACCAGGTGCAAAAAAACAAGTGTTTGCTAGCTAAGTTTCTCGAGCCAAAAAGTCGACACAAAACAACATGCACAAAAACACAAAACAGCACCGTTCAGTTCACAACTTGATACAAATAGCCAGTTCCTTTGGTTTATTGTTGTGATTACAACAGGACCCCCTATCAGCACTGGAAACCTTCCACCCCCCAAACCTTGATGGAAACGCTTTTTTCTCAATGATCAAGGGTGCTTTTGTCTAGCAGCCAAAGCTGCCAATGCCTAAATAACCAAGCCAATCTTTGATTCAATAGAAAGGCTTGTGCAAAATATTAAAAAACACTCCCTTTTGTCAAGCTGCAGGTTGTGGTGGTCTTGCTTTTGTCAAGCAAGACGTTTGTGGCTGGTCTTCGTACCACAAAGTACTTTTGGTTTTGCGCCTTAGCACGGCCCAGTCCTTAGGTCCAGGGCTCACTCCTTAGGTCCAGGGCCTTTCTTTTCCACCTCTGGTAGTGGATTGACTGAATGATCCTTTGGTAGTGAAGAGACCAAGTTTCTTTGTCACTTCCACGAGAAGCTTGAATGGATCACCAGGCCGTTCAAGGGCTGTGATGTAGGCCCTTTCTGGCTTCTGGGAATATGTTAACTGTTATCTTAAGCCTGTGCCACTTGCCACTCTTTGGTCTCTTGGTGATGTTTTCTTTACCTTTTTTCAAGGGTGCTTTTGCCAGGCTGGAAGTCTTGCTTGTTGCCTTGCCACTGGCTGATAGTGTTTTCTTTCTGATTCCTTTCCCTTGGTGCTATCTTTGGCTTGCCGTTTTTTCAAGGCTTTCAAGCCCATGGCTTCTGCCAAGACATCATCATGGCTCTTTGCTTTCCAGTTTGTAGGACTCCTTCTGCCTGTCCTTCTCCTCAAGTGTTGTTGCTGTCAGGGCTTCCTTTTGTCAAGGGTTTCTCTTTGGTGGATGGGGTCAACAGCTCTTTTGGGTAGCCATCTTCATCTAATGATACCTCATCTATGCTTCTTTTCTTTGGTTCCTTCTTTTGCTCAGCTTCCTTGTCAACCATCATATCAACTAGGCTTTGCAGCCTCATGAATGTGCCAACAATGTGCAGATCCTTTCTTGTCGCATATTGGCCCACCTCTCCCTTGAATTCTGAATTGTTCACTGATGGTGTGTTTATACACATTTTCAATAATGCTAATCTCAAATCACAAGAGTGTACTTCACAGGTGCTTGCCACCTCGAAAAACTCCGCACGTTCCTCTTAGGCATGTGCACGGGCGGATCTTAGATCAGAGACGCCGCAGAAAAGAGGCCGACCGTCAGCACACCGTCGGATGGACATGAGTGTGGGGCGTGGCATGAAGATGGAACCAAATGGACGGGACCCCTCCATTTGGATTCATTTGGTGGGTTTATTGATTTGGTCAGGATACAAACTCAGTGAGCTGGCAGATGACGGACATGGTGGCTAGGTAGACTGGCGACCCTAGGTGAGTGCCTGTGAGTTGTTGGGGGAATGATTCTTTGGAATCTGATGAGCAAGGGCAGCAAGGGAAGGGTGTTATAATGTCATCCCACATGAGCACCACATGAGATCAAATGAGCCTGTACACTGTACTTGGTCATTCAACGAGTCGCGCAGTGATATATGTGTGGCTAGTCCTCGGGAAAAAAACTAAAGAACCTTTAGTGTTTGGGAACATGTCAGGGCGACACTAAGGTCACAGACATTGGGAGTTTGTTTTTGTTTTCGTGTGTGTTCTATTTTTCACGAAAGGTAGCCCTTTAGGGGATACCTTGAGTTTGTCTTGCGAAGCAAGTGTTGGGACGTCCGGGTCTAATAATTGATC